ACAGTGTATTCAATGTCAGGGAGCGCTTCGATAAGGATTGCAGTTGCGTTGTTCGTTTGCCAAGAGGATTTACAGTATCAATTAATATTGATTTTTTTTTAAAAATTTTGGGATGGAAATTTATCATTAGCTACTTGAAAGTTGATGTAAGAGTCTTTAGAGAACCCATCCACGATTGCTAGTGTGCGATTTGTTGAATGTCAGTGTCCTTAATTGTTTTACCATAGTAAAATGATTCCTTAATAGAAAAATGAGTCTTCTTTTAATTTTTGTCTGAATTGAATTCGGTCTTATTGTATTTTCCAATCAAAAGTATTATTTTACACTAGCTTCACATTTTAAAGATTTCTTAATACTAATGTGCGATATTTGTTTTTTTATCGTGAAAAGTATAGACTAACCTTCCACATTTGCCATAGAAGGGATATTTATTATCGAGTTGTTTTAAACGTTGTTATTTAATAGTTTTTGTTGACAATATGAATCTGGAAAAATTGTAAAAATTTACCAAAAATTGTGAATTCTATTTGTTTTCATTAAATATTAGTTTTAGACTCATTCAATACTGCATTGATAATCTGATATTTTTAATTATATTTCAATTTTTTTTTCCGTTTGATACTTGAATAAATATATATTCTTTGCAGAACACTTTCCTGTGAAACTTCAACCCGCAAACGTTGTAGATATGTCTTTCAACTAAAATGTCTTTCAAGTAAAGATATGTCTTTCAAGTTTTGCATTTTTTTTTGCTTCTGGTTGAAAAAGATTGAAATTGTTTATGGCGTATATATGCAATGTTTCTTGCTGGTTGCCTTCGCAATTATTATGTTTCACTAAAATGTCTTGCTTGTGTTAGTGTTCGTGATAACCAATTGTCATTAATTTTTGGCGTGGACTTTGTCATTTAAAAAAAGTTTTTTTTCACGATGACAACTAAAAGTTACTTTTGTACAAAAGTCTTACAAAAAGAAGCTTAACCGATTGTTTTTTCTTGGTGTATCTATCGTTTTTGTATTTTGTTTCGTCGTAAAAAAAGGAGGAGGCAATGTTTGGAAGGTTGTATCTGGCTGAGAGAGAGAGTGGTATTGAATATTCTCGTATGTTTTTTAATTTAATAGGAAATTAAAATATGAAAACTAGTTTTTGTTGTGCCAATAATCGCTAGCTATGGTCTTTCATGTCTTGATAAATATCGTGCGTAGAGTGTGAACAATTTATAGCCAATTTTTAAGTTGTCGGCTATCCAAATTGTGTCGTCATACTTACAATCCAGTCTTGTTGGTTCGATTGTGTTATTGTTTTCTTGATTTTTATTATTTAAAAGTTGTTGTAATTAAGTTGGGAATCTAATAAAAAGAGATATGCTTGAAATAAAAGGTTTATAGTTAGCGAAATGTTGTTGGTAGAGAAAATGATGATGTTTCTTGTGGAGTTTCAACTTAGTAAATAATTAAATTTGCGTCACTTGCGGATAAGTTTGATCAACCAATATGGAAGACGTTGTGAAGGTGTTGGACGATAAAATGGACTGTCTTCTAATTCTGAAGAAGTTGAAGTTGAATCTATATAAGATATTAAAAGTGGTGTATATATTGGATAACCTTCATTTTAATGTGTACAGTTTTCTAGTAATTCTCTGAATGTGATGTTGAGGAAGATGGTTATGATGGTGAACTTAAATTGAAATGAATTCTTGATGTTATAAAACTTCTGTTTCGCCTTGGGTGAAATATTTGTCTACTTTTTGTAAAAATCCTGTGAAACTGAGGAATATATATTATAGTTCGAATCGTGTTGCTGTTGGTTTAATGGTACGTTTTGACGTGCGGAGTTAGCGGCTCTGAAAATAGTTTATGTGGTTCTTCGAGAGTACAATGGTTGTTTGTTAATTGGGGATTTCAATTGGGATTACAGGTTGGATTTGAAAGAGGGGCTTAGGTTTGAAGTGTGATCAACAATTTTGTTTTTTGATTTTTTTTTCTAACGTTTTATCGGAGAAAAAATGTTTCGAAAACTATAACTAACATGATGATGGCTATTAAAATTACAACTTTTGCTTGGATAAGACATTTGAGACAAAAAAAATTAGAATTGGAGCTGTTATCAGAATTAGAAAAATTGTAGAAACAACCAAAAAGTTTTTTATTGCAAAGGATTCTTAATATTACAGAGAAAAATAAAACGTATTAAGATAAGGGTCATTCTTACCTGGTAAGGTGATCAAGGGTTTGTGAAAAGGTTAATATAACTTAAAAAGGTGTTGAAAATTGAAAAATTGCTTACAATAATTTAGAAATGTTTTTTTTTTAGTTTAAAAAAAATGAAAACGAATAACTCTAGAAAAGCTGTGAAAAACTTCTAGAAAACAAGAAAAAATTTTCAGGAGTGGATGCATCTTGTTTCAGAGTGATCATTCAGATTATGATTTCACTTATCCGAGAGATCTTTACAACACTAGTTTTCTCTAGCGCAAGGTTGATTTTGATTATTTGATCTCTATAAGGGGGTTGGAAATTGATAAGTATTGATGACAGGTAATCCTTAGGTTTCGGTAGTAAACTGTTTTCTTGTTTCTTTTTTTAAAACAGAGATTTACTGCGTGATATTTTTTTTGGGCTAAATGGCTTCTGTTTTAATTTGCTTTATGTTAAATTAAATGTATATATATATTTATATATTGAGATTATCGGGATTAATAGTTTATATTGATTTGCTGACTTTCACTGAGGCTTGTCGGGAGCGATTTAGGTTTCGACGTGATAAAACTTTCGCTATCAAAAAAGAAAGTTGTGCTGATTTTTGACCTAGAGGTCCAAAAGTTAGAGTTAGAGTACTAAATTAAAATAAGATAGAACTCTTTGCGTGAAAGGTGGTGGCGAATGAAAAATTTTTGAAGAAAGCTACGCAGTGATTGGACAGTTTCTGTCACTGGATTTGTTCAGGTATATCAAGTCAGAAAAATGAACTGTGTTATGTAATCAAAAAGGAAATGTATGGAGCCAATAGAATCTTACTGAGGTTTCATTTTCTGTTTAGTAAAGCAATTGCATGATACATACTTTCTACCATTTTCATTCAGATGTATTGTTAACTCTGATTTTTTCAAAGGTTTTGTTTGTGGGATGAATGTTTGATAGTTCTGTGTGGATAAGTTTGTATTTTGTTCTAGTAATGTGGAGATTTCTAGAAGGTTTTTTTTTGTTGCCTTTGGTGATTCATTGTTGGGAAGACCAGTAAAGTAGTATAATTGTGTATTATAAGTGTGTCTTATAATTGTATTAATTGTGATGATGGTGTAAGCGACTATTTCTCTGTTGTTATGTTTTTGTTAAAAAATTATATCTAACATCAGTTGATTTTACAATAATTTGGTAGGGTCTTTTTCCGAATGGTTGCAATTTTTCTGTTGAGAAACTCGGTATCAGTACCAACTTTCCATATTTTGAGTCGGAAGCTGGTGTGAAGCGGGAGTTGATTTGTGATTGGATGTTTTTTCTTGGTAATAATTTCTTTGTTAATTTTTGGTCAATTTCTTTTTGTTTTTGTTTCTGTTTAAAATTCATTCAGTTGGAGTACCAGAAGCCGTTTTAAAATTTTTTTGAAAATGATCGTCATCGTGTGCACGAGGTTATAAGTTGTAACATACTGAAAATTGCAATAGTCTCCAAAATCCTAATGATTTTTTGATGTATTTGCTCTAAACACTATTGGCTTACAAATTTTACGAAGACGCTCCCCTTGTTCGTTATTTGTTCTTCCAATTTCTTGGATCGTTCCGAAAAAATTTCAACCTGTTTAAAGGCTTGTCTCTGGAATCCAGGAACATCAAGTCACAAAATCATGCGCCTATCCAGTGCACTGGTTGGCCTCGTAATGACGGTGGAAAAAATATCAATTAGAACGGTCGTTACATCTTTCGTGTAGGGTGGAAACATCTCGAGCTTTTGCTCTGCACAAACAAAGCATACCTCATTTGAGTACATTTGGAACATATTAGAGTAAAAAAATCTCGCGAACGGTCGAAATATACCTCGAGCGAGAACCCTCGAGCTATACGTCCAGCAATGTCTAATCACACCTTGAACATGGTCGTCCCGTGGTTAAGCAAAGCCAATTTATGAAAAAATCTTACAATCATCAAACTGAAATTTTACACTAGTATATATATTTTGAGCCATATAGTTTTTACTTTTGGATACCACATGTTAAACGAAAAACAAATCCCAACTCCGTCGAGGTAGTTCAAACAAAGCTCGTTTGCGTCGATTAAAGTCGAGCATTTGTTTTTAGTTGATCGAAAAAGATGAAACATACATGAAGTCAACCGAGACGAGCAACTTTACTTTACAAATAAACATAACTCTTGCCAAACTCACCCCAGACATAAGATTCAATAGAAAATAAAATGCTTTTTAATTCAATAAGAAAAAGGACTAAAGGAATTGAAATAAAAAGCGATCAACTGATAAAATCTATAAGAAAGCGTCAATTGAAAATAAACAAACAGTAAACTGTTACTGCAAAACTTGAACATAAATGACCTCGCTCATTCCTGGGCTTTCAATTTCAAGCTCAAAGTACAAAACAGACTGGACAGCCAATAGTTTTCGAATTAATCAAAAATAATTATGCCAAAACTGTTCCGTTGTTTGATTTTTGACAATTTTTTTAAAATCATCTTCTTCGCAAACCAATTGCCGTTCTATTTGTCAAATTCATGCTAACAAATCAGCTGACACGTCTCAAGTAATATACAATTTTTTATGCTTACTATTTTTAGATACAGTTTCGGTGGAGTGCGGTCAAAGGCGCATAAAAATTAGTTTTCATTTTGGATCATGTTCAGATTGAATACGTTCAGATTGGGTGTTTTTTAAATATTTTCAGCTAAGCTCAACGACAATTTTAACTTGGTCAAACCCGCTCTGCTCGGACAAATCAATATTTGATTCACTTAATATGAATTAAGAAATCAAAATATGAACCATATATTACAGAGAGGGAAAATCAAGAGAAACAGAGAAGACGAGCGGCCGAAGAAGAAGGTCTTAGACAGTTAGCGGCAAGTAAAGCGATGCTGGAAATGGAAATAAGCTCGATGCAAAGACAAAAAGAACAAGAAGATATAGATCGGAGAGAACAAGAAGTCAGCTGGAGAGGAGCAAACTCAGATATACAAGCAGAAGTCGAAGAAAATACTCGTGAGCTAACTGCAAAGGACCCTCCAAAACCGAACAGGAAATGCTTTCCTCTAGATTCTTACGTCAGTGTTCAGAGGAATCGCGCTGAATTCCGGTTGCCAATTCGTGAACTTAAGCAGGGCGATAAAATACTGGGCTACAATGTTAAAAAACAGAGATTTCAGTATTCTGATTTTGTGACCTGGCTTCATTATGGGACTGGACCCTGTGATTTTAAGCATATCGTATGCAGTGATGGCTCTGAAGCATTTGCATCCAATGACCACTTGATTATGACAGGGGGAGCCATGAGCATTGAACTAGTCAGTAGTCTAAATGCCGGATTGAGCCTTCTCTCGGATTCCGGACACTCTGTGAAGGTAACCGACACTGCAGAAGTTACAAAGGAGGGGTTTGCTGCACCGCTGACTCGTTGTGGGAATCTGTTCGTCGACGGAGTACTGTTCAGTTGTTATGCACAGATGGACCCAAAGAAGAGTCGACTGCTGGGATTGAACCTCTCCCCGCAAACACTTGGCGACATATCCTTGCGTCCCCTGATTCTCTACCGCTCACTGTTTCCATGGAAACCACAAGCCAAACTGACGAGCGACGAGTACATGTGCCCATACGCCGAGAGCTTGTTTTGGTTGTATGGAAAAATGATGGAGAAAAAAATCATTAGCTAATTCTGTCGCTTTCAGTTCGTCGACTTCCTTTCGCTGACATCATTCATTCAATTTCCCGATTAGTTGACATGTACATTTTTTTTGCCTAAATTCATATGAAAAACAAATCGCTGAAACTTTCATTCGCCTAAAAAAAATTTAATCAGATAACTCCCTATCATGTTGGCTTCTGTTGATTTGAAATCATGAAAAAACTTGCCTCGCCAAAGATGATAAAATGTCAATACTACTCGCTTGTTTCATTCATTGTTTGATTTGACATTATGATTCTTTGCTTAATGTGATCTCAAATCACTCCACTTAAGACGAAAAAAATAATCCATTTTGTTGATGATGATCGAACTTGCTACAATATATTGCATAAAAACCAAAAAACAATCATTTCTTTCCCTTACACTGAATTCATTTTTTAAATATTTGATAAGTTTGCTTCCAAAAAAAATGATTTATGATAAATTAGATAACCCAATTGAATGATAAATGTATTACAAAAACTGTTGGACGCTTGAACCCTATATTTACAAGTGCTCTATTTTTATAACTTTCAAAGCTCTGCTATCCAAGCTTATCATGATTCTCTCCTTGATGTGATGTCAAAACACTGCACTTAAAATGGAAACAATAATCTTTTTTGTTGATGGTGATCTAACCTGCTAAAACAAATTTTAAAAAACCAAAAAAAAAATCATTTCTTTCTCTTAATCAGAATTCATCTTTTCTATATTTGCTAAATTCGTTTGCAAAATATACTGATTTAATAAATAATCCTATTGAATGATAGACTTATTAACAAATGTTTTGGATAATTTAACCCTTTTAATTACACATGCTGTATTTCTATCTAATTCAAAGCTCTGCTCGGTGGCGTATCACAATGTTTACAATCTCACTAAAAATAGTTTTCATTTTTTCATTTTAATCACCAAAACTGGTTAGGTAGCAAAAAGTGTATATCTCATAAAGTAGATACGTCGTAAGCCAATCAGAATAGAGAAACGCAAAAATTTTGTACTTTTACTTACCTCGATTGTGATTGGCAAACGATTTGTCTATTTGACGACACTAGATTGTGATTGGCTTACAATTTATCTACTCTATGACATGTCTACTTTTTCACCGCACTCCACCGAAACTGTATCTAAAGAGAGTAAGCATACAGATTTGTGGAGTGCTGTCTGTATTCAGACAACCGCGTATTCATACTCGTCAGTATTTAGACAACTACTGTATGAACCAATCAGAATCGAGATAAGACATAAATGATCCAAAATTAATAATTGTTATTTATTATGTTCTGTCTTGTCTCGACTCTGATTGGTTAAAACAGTATTTGTCTAAATACTGACGTGTCTGAATACGCGGTTGTCTAAATACTGCTACGTGACCAAGATTTGTTTACTATTTGAGACGTGTCCGCTTATATATTTGCCTAAATCACGTTGCTTTCTGTCGTTGCCTTTTAAATTGATAATTTTGACATAGCAATATAATTGTTGAAAATTTATCGTCGATTAAATTAGTTGTTTTGAGTAAAGCTCATCCATTGGTTGTGATATTTTGCTTTTGATTTCCAAAAAAGTCCTGAAAAAGATTAAAATAATTTCAACCTAATTGTGATTGAAGTCAAGTGCTGCAAATGCAAAAGAAGTCTTGATTACTGTAATTGATGTCATGTCAAAAATATCCACTTTTGATTAAAAAAAACGCCGATTTGTTGATGGTGATCTAAATTGCTACGATAAATCACAAAAAAAACATAAATCCATTCCTTTCTCTTATCCAGAATTCATCTTATTTTTTGCTATGTTTGCTTCCAAATTATATTGATTAACTAAATAACTTTTATCGATTGATTTTTTTTGTTAATAAAACATTTGAATAATTTAACCCCATAATTTCACATAATGTTTTAAAATAATTTTCAAAGGCTCTACTGGGTGGCGTATCACATAGTATACATCTCATTAGGCATATATTTTTTGTTAGTTCCATTACCAAAGATGTTTTTAAATAGAATAAGCATAAAACTTTTTATACTATTTGAGACGTCTCCGCTGATATCGTTGCCTGAATCACGTTGCTTTCTGTCGTTGCAATTGACAATTTCGACATAACAGTTTGATTGCTAATGTTCTATCAAATAAGTTAGTTGCTGTGAGTAAAACCCATTGGTTGGTTGTGATCTCTTGCTTTTGATTCTAGAAAAAAGTTGTGAAATGGGTTAAAATAATTTCAACTTAAAGGCAAAAGAAATCTTGATGTAACGAGAAAAAATGGTTGGCCAAGTGAACAATCTCACAATCTTCCCTTTATAAGATTAAGTGAACAATCTCCCACCCTGAAATTAAATGGCAAATTCAAGCCGTAAGCCCTGAGATCTACTATGCTCAAATTTGATTAACTGAAAAGTTTTACCCATAACCAAACCAAGTGAACAATCGCTTTATATTATTCAACGTAATCTATAATGAAAATTAAAAAACTTGCTTTTGCGTCATGTTTCTCTAAATATCTTGATTAATCCACTGAATTAATAGTCAACCCGGGCTAACCGTCATTCACCAAAAGTTCCATTGGATTCAGCCGGTTAATCTGAAATTGCCAAAAAATTTACGGAAGTGTGTTGGGATACGGCTGGGTAAAATGAATATGCGTTTGTAACTGTTTCAGATGTTTGCAAAACATTCTGCACCAAACGGCCACGTTTAACATCCTGCTTGACCTAAAAATTACATGGATAATATTCTTATAACTCATACCAATGTGATTTAGTAACAATAATTAATGATTTTTTCAAATAAAAATTTCCAATAACTAGTGAAATATTGTTGTCCGTCAAGCGATAGTTCTTTATGTACTTTTTGAAGCATTGGTTTTGTGATAAGTGAGGACAACAAGAAACGCAAATCATTTTTGCTGTACAATTTATGCTATCTTCATTTGCTCTTCTCATTGCAGGCCATAAGTTTATCAGACCTAAATCTTTTGGCCATACATTTAAAATTCAGTGATTGAAGAGGGAACAGAAGTTGATGCACATGAAAACATTTTAACAATTGAAGAGATTAATACTCTCATTCCCATATATCTATCCTGTACTGTATAGAATTTAAATAATCATTCAAGATTTTGTTTTTTACACCATACAGAGCGGAACACCAATTTGTTCTGCTATTGAAAAAGCTACACTACATTACAGTCAGTGAGGAATCTAGGATTTTCTCGGGGAGGTTGGATTTAAGAAGACACTTCGAAAAATTTGTCGACCTTCTTCTAGGTCGGCTAAATTGATTTTCTGAGCGCTCCCAGAACACTTAAAAGATCTCTATTTTAACACAGTTTTCTGCGCCGCAAACAAGTTTATAAGAAAACAGGTCAAAACGCCGTGTTTGTGCAGTTTTTGGAACTTTTGATTGAGAAATTGCATGTCATCGGCGCTCGCTACCCTTCAAAATTAGTATATATTGCAGCCGAAAGCTCTTTCTGAAAAATTGTACGGTTGGTCGTCAAAAACGGATGTCATAACATATTACCAAAGGGGGACCAGCTGGTTGGTGAGGGGTCGAATCCTTGAGGGGGGGGGGGGTCCAGTTTCGGGAAAAATACACCTCGTAATACACACAAAATAACGTTGTAGCTGCACACGGTTGCCGAAACATAGACCCGGTTGACCCTAAATACAACAAAAATTGCTTGTCATACATTTCCATACAGTGAGTCTATGAAAAATTACTAGTCGGAAATATTTCATAGATTTCTGCTGAAATGGTGTAATTGAAATTCAAAAGAAATTTTTTCCTGTTTTGACATAAAATTTGGCGCATCATCAAAAATAAATTTAAAAAGTTCATTTTCAAAAAAAGTACAATTTCCATAATACAATTTCATACAATTTCCATAAAATTGTTTAAGGCGTTACCAACAACTTTATAAATAAGTTTCGCAATTGCCATAAACAATTATTTTCAACTACAACACGAATTTTAAACTGAAGCATTTCAGAAAAAAAAATAGTTTTGCTTGCAATTTCTAACTTTACGTGTGCATAAAGTAGTCCTGAATGCAAAAAATTGGACGATTTTTCGGTTTCTCTAGATAACGTTTTTCAAAGCAACCAATGAGTCTATCTATTTCACATTGCATATTTTTGCATGCTTTGGGCAATGCATGATCAAGTAATTTTTTAACTTCAAAAAATTAGCATCTGTGAAAACTTTTGCCAAATGTTTTGATAATATGTTTGTTTAAGACATCAATATTCAGGTTGTGGCTAACAAAAGTTCATGCAAAACCGTGAAACATTTCAAAACAGACTCAAATATTGAGTAACAAGGGTATTTGCCGCATGTGATCGGTTACGAACAAAACACAAAATTTTTTGAGAAATCTAGCCCTTCCATTTTCTGGGAGAAATCTGAGTTGAACTGCTCGCGCATTCTAGAATGTTCTAGTTCCAGTTTGTTCAATTTGCCAGCGATTGCCACTCGTTCTTTATTGAGTTTTTCCAGTTCCATTCTCCACTTTTGGACACTTTTGTCTGTCTGCTTCAGTTTCAGATCCCATTCCTGAAATCAGTGAAATCTACAAAAATGTAAATTAAATACGCGGTCATATAAAGTCATGTAAATGAAGGAGTTATATAGTATAGAAAAGTTCTTCTTGGGAGTCAACTTCTCGGATTGTGCCCAGAATACAGGCGGAATTGGCAGTTTGAATAGCATTAGCTATCCGTTGTTTTAAAAACATAGCCGCGCGTGGCTCTTTTGTGGCAACGATGAGCCGTTTTCCCAGGTCTTTGATGAAATTATTACAGTCGGGCCCTGGTTGACCTTGAGCTTCGAAAGCGAGGGGAATGAAATTGTACCCTGCCTGGATTACCTCGGTGTATTTTGATCGTTTTCTCGATTCGGCTTCTTCGGCGGCTTTTCCGGGTGCAAAATTGGATATTCTGCTGTTTGCCAAGGCGTCCACGACGGTTACGTCCCATACAACTGACTGAC